AAATTCTTGTCTGCAGTTTGCCACAAGCCTCGACGGGGAACATAGTAAATGTCTGGTAAATATCTGCAGATCAAAAAATTTTAAAGCTTGTTTACCATAAAAAAGACCTCTAGTTTCCAAATTATTTTGGACTCCACTGATTTTCTTTTTTTTCTATTCCTAAAATATCACAAGTGAGACTTTTTCTTTAAAAAATGCTTGCAGCACTTATCCAAGTTTTGTTAAACACAAGTACCTTGTGTCGCTGCAGCTAACCTTTTCCCTCGTAAGACGATGTGAATCTGTCTGTAATCGGTTAGCCCTAATGAAAAATTAAAAGACTCAATAAATACCTGTGGCGGCAGGTCAAATTTGTATCATTCTTAAATTGACAATGCTGCAAAAAAATTCAAATAGCAAATAACCCTGAGGCCACACATTGGACTTACTTTCTAGCCTTAGACTGAAACAAATTCAAGTGTGACAGTGGTCTACTCAAAGCCCAGGCCTAAATCCAATTGAGAATCTGTGGCAAGACTTGACAGTCGATGGCCACAGAAGCTCTCCATCCAACTTGACTGAGCTGAAACTACTTTCCAAAGGACTGGTCTGAAGTTTTAGTCACTAGATGTGCAGAACTAGTGGAAACATCTTCTAGAAGAGTGGACTCAGGCAGGGGGTAAATACAAAGGCACAGCACAGTTCTCACATATATCTACCATAATGGAGCCCAATCACATAAACCGAAGGCAGACAGAGCCAAATATCTACCCAGTTATCCGTCTTTCTAGCGCGTCTCTCAAGCCCCTTCTGGAGCCGTTCTCCTACTCCGCCCTTCAGGAACTCCTGTATTAGAACGCGAGTGTGTTCCAGCTCTTCCTCGCTGACGATGGGCTCCAAGGCGGCCAGGTAGCGCTCACACGTCTGCTTCAGAGGCGGAACAGGTAGCTTGGGCAAACCTTCCTGATGAACAAAGGACCTCTCTGATATCTGCGTTACCGCTCTGAGTAAACGGCATGGGTTTGCAATGCCTGGACGCAGCTGCAAGACAGGAAGAGACTTTGTTTATATATTCAGTGAGAAATCATAATAAATGTCCTACTCCGTTTGTACGAAAGAAACGCGGTAATCCGGTCAAGTAAAGTATAACAGGCTATAAAGATCCACGGCGTGAACATGTTTGTGTGAGAACACCTCTCTGAAACAGAAACTTGACTCAAATTTGTGGACAACAATTTGAATATTCATAAAGGCAAATAGTTCAGTGATAGATGACTGAGCATGTGAAAAGGGACACCGAGACAACTAATTGGAGCTGTTCCACTGTTTGTTTGTTGGGAGCAGCGGGGTTGTGCTCTGCCATCCTATAAATAGAAGGTTGACACTGCTGAACTGCGACGGGGTGGTTGCTAAAACAAACATGCATGAAAGCATGAAATCCATCTGTGCCACACATGTTAACATGCGGGTGCCATGTTCATAAGGTCCATGCTCGTCACCAGGTACAAAATAAATCTTAGATTGAAAGTCAAAGACAAGTAACCAAATGTTCAATGACAATACAAACAGTTGCTGAGGAAGTATTATTTTTCCTCAGAATTAATTGATTTCGAGAATGTTTTTAAAAATCACACTTAAAAAGAAAAGAGGAATCACCTTCTACTTTGTGCGTATTTGATGACATCACAAGAGCCACAAGGGTTGGGCTGATCAGCACAAAACACATGCAGCTTTTGACAGAGTCAAACCTTGATCCTGAATCATTTGAGTTGGAAAAGGTTCAGCCATTTTTTTTTTTTGTTTGAGCCAGAGTTTGACCCTCCCAGGCCATGATGCATACAGCTGTGGCTGCAGAAGCAAATGTTGGTGAGTCAAATCTGTTTATAATCCTTTTTATGTTCTTATATATTTTTGCTACAATGCATATTCCCCATGTATGAAGTAAGATTTTTTTTTTTTTTTTTTGTTTTTTGTTTTTTGCACGTAGTTCCCTATATAGTTTTGTGATTTGCTAGTGCAGGCTGGTCTGCAGATGAATCGACTGTGCGACTGACTTCTAGGATCGGGTTTATTATTAGTCACTCTTTCTGGCAAGTAATCTTGGCATCTGCAGTGGTTATGGTGGCAGTTTTACTGTAAATACTGGGACTTATTTTAATAGAACAGATCGACTACCAATGTGGTTTTTAGTAAAGGAAAAAAGAAACACATTTCTGAAAATAATTACTGATGATCTTTGATCATCTGGCCTTTCCAGTCTGCACTGGTCCTCTTCACAAATTACAAATTACTTCAATATGTTTTCAGTACGTTTTCCCTGAAATCCATGCAGCTTTCCCACTGAAGGCCCAGAGGATTCTGTGCGTCCGTAGAGATTAGAAGTGAACATCTCTGAAGGAAGCATTTAATTAAAAACATGCAACTGTCAAAGGGATGGAAAACAAGAAAGAAAAAAATATGAATGCACTCTTTCAAATGAAATCGGATTAGTTGCTTTGTGTCATTGCCATTGGGGGAAACTATTGTTTAAGGGAGCTTTATTTAATGACAATTTAGAACAAAATAGCTCAACAAATATAAAACGTACTCAGCTGTTCCACAGTGAACTGAAGTGAGTTTCATTGATTTCTTTTCTTCTGTTTTTTAAGTCTGGCTACCAGCTTTAATGTACGGATGTAAACGGAAATGACGATGAAGTGGGAGGCTGTCTATCATTTCACATAATATGTACAGATGTGTGTCACCTCTATCAAGGTCGTGGGAATAAGATAGAAGATAGAACTTCCGGTTAACCCTTTCAAAATAATATTTTTGTGACAGCTAAGTGCGGCAATGTCATTAGTTTTATACACCACCTGTTACAGGGAATGATGTGAAGCACTGAATATGTTAAAGAAGCGCCGTTCACTGGCACAACCTGCGGCTTTCATGTCGCCGAAGTTGACATTTTATCAGCATACGCATCTCGTTAAGCAATGCTATCGGAAATATTAAGCTAACCTTACGCAACACAAACGTTGTTAAAAACTGCACCTATATTAAAATGTACAATGATAACTTTGGTGCATTTGAAGACGTGAAGGGGGAGATTAATGAATATTCCTCTCGGTTCCTTCGGACCTGTCACTGTCCCGGTGTTGTTGTCCTGTGGCGCCCCACCCCTCCTCTCCTCTCCTCCTCCACTGCCTCATGCAGCCCGTAAACAACAACAAACCTCCTGCGTCTGGTTCAACGAAATAAATACAAGACACTCACCGCAGCTCTGACGATAACCCCCAACATGGTGCTAGAAAGACGCGCTGAAGCCTTTGACCGTCCCGGGAATACAGATGGGTAAACCCCCGGGCTGTCATATCTCAAGGACAGGAACACTGTCTATTCTCAGCTGCCCGCCCCCCGTCGGACCCACTGAGCAAAGACAAGTCAAAACTCTGGAGGAGTTTCATACATGTGGGGATAACAATAGCTAAGCATCACCTAAAGACACTTTGAAGCACTTATTATTATTATTATTATTATTATTATTATTATTATTATTATTATTATTATTATTATTATTCATCTTTGTGTGAATAAAAAAAAATTACACGAAGGTAAAAATATAAAAACAGAAATTGAGAATAAGACTGTAAGAGAAAATTACGAGCTGTAAGTTTACTGCGTCAAAAAAGGTGGGGTTCTCATAAACAATTAAGAGGAACAAGACAGCAAAACTGTAAGACATTTTAGGAATATATATATATATATATATATATATATATATATATATATATATATATATATATATATATATATATATATGAAAGTTTTTGTAATAAGTACCATTACAGCAAAAATACTATATTTCCAAAGTACTGCAGTGTTGACAGATAGCTCACAAGAGCTGTAAAAACAGCCATAATTATCTGGTTTGTTTGGAGCGGTGCTGATTTTGCAGCGACAAGAGGAAAGATTTGCAATACTGTTCTACTTTTCACTTAGTATACATCAGCCTGTCACTGAATGTGCTGTCCACATTTTTTACTATATCATCTTGTGGACCAAAGGGACAACCCAGGACAGAGCGTACCTTCCTGATCAGCTTATCCCACCGTTTCGTCTCATCTGTTGATAAGGTGCTGCTCTGGCAGACCACACCATAAAAGGTGGTTTCTTGAGGAAGAAGAGTAGTGTGTAAACATTTAGGTTTATGCTTTTCTTTTTAAGTAATAATCTGGAAATTCAAGGTTTTAGTATAAAGCCAGATGCTTCTCACTGAGCTCAACTTCAAAATGCAATATGGCCTTCTTGAATATTAAACATACTGGGGAAAAAAAAATGTTTTCAGTAAGTTTGAAGTTTATTAGCAATAGATTTTTCACAGCGCGTTACAAAATTTTGTTTATTAAATGTGTTACGTTGTTTTAATGTACAGACATGTTAAGTTGCAAAGCTGCAAACAATACTGAAAATAGCTGTAATGCGACATAATTTGCGTGAAGCATAACAATAAAAGCGGTTAGCAGCTGGAAGACTGGATATGCCGCTTGCTAACATTAGGGTGATTTATTTTTAGCTACATTGAGCACGGACATAGAATGGGACCGATCAACCAATGGGCTCATTTATTTGTACATCCAACAAGCCAGAGATACTGGCTTGCTCCAAGGCAAGTATTTTGTTTGTGTGGAGCAGTGCCTTCATGAAGGTTTTCCTCAATGTTTTTCATTTTGTTTTATCTTGACTATCTTAAATGTTATAGATCAAATAAAGCTGTAATATCTGACAATGAGAACTTGTGTTGTTTAAAATGCATTTTTCAAATTAAAGGTAAAACTGTCCAAACCAACCCGGCCCTGTGCGAAGAAACTAATTGCCACTGAACCTAATAACGCGACATACTATCATTTGTCAGCAACAATTGCCTTTATGCGTTTGCAATAACGATAAGTCTTTTATGTCATTCTGGAGAAATTCTGACCAACTCCAAAAACAAATCAGAAACGAACTCACTTACGCCTATCGGCCTGGAAAATGCAACTGACTCATTTCTAAGGCTTTGAGGCTCAAGCACTGATCAAAGTGTGACTGAACTTCAGGTCAGGACCTGATGGCTGGATGTTCTCCTTCAAGACTTTCTGACAGAGAGCAGAATTCACTGCTCCATCAACCAGAGGATGCTGTAAAGCAGTCCCAAACCATTTACACCACCCCCACAATGTTTGATTATCAGTGTTTTCTGAAATGCTTTGTAAGATTTAGGCCAGATATAACAGGACCTACATTTTGTCTAATTTGTCCAAGGTATATTTTACCAAATGTTTTGGGAAAATATGGTCTTTTTGATCAATGGAACCCTCACACAAATGCCATTTTTGTTCAGTCTCTTATTTCGTATGATTAAATCATGAGTAGGTCATGATGCCAGTAGAGCTACAGATCTTGTCCTGGGTTCTTTTTCTGACCTGCTGGATGCATCCTCGATGTGCTTGTCGAATAAATTTGGTGGTCTGACCGCTCCTCTGGAGGGTCACCTCTGTTCCAGGTTTTCTCCATGTGTGGATGATGCCTCGGCTCTCACTGTGATCCTCTTGACTCTAAAATCCTTCTAAGGTTTTATAATAAAATATTTAAGTAACTTTGTTTCTGGAGATTGGAGCGTGGTGTGTTGGCTAGACTTACTCACTTTTAACTCGCGTACTGGAAGACAAAATCACGATGTTGAAGCTTGGTGAAGTTCACCCATTCCCCTTGTCAAGTTAACTATATTTACATTTCAGTTTGCAGACAATAAGCACCATGTTGATAGCAGCCGGCTTCAGCCTGGCCACCTCAGCAGATGATTAATCAGCTAATAAGAGCCTGACATATTATTTTCATGTTATTTGGAAGCCAAGATGACATATGTAAAAATAAATTAAATCCAGAAGTTCGTTCTGTATTTTTGCTTAAATCTGTGCAACAAAGTCAAAATAACAAATCTAGAAAATATCACTTCAACTGAAATAATCAATGCTATCTTAGCAAAAAATAACGCATTATTGTTTCCCTACTTTTTAGACTCCTATTCTTCCAAACCAGAGAATGAATTAGACCAGAGGATTCTCACTTATATTTATCTATCAACCCCGAATAGGAGTATCTAGTTTATTTACTTTGGATCAACATTATTAGCGTTTTCTTCTTTTGCTCTTTCATTTGGTTTGTTATTTGGTTTGTATTTCCTTTTAAATCCTGTAAAGCACTTTGTATTGCCTTGTTGCTGAAAATGTGCTATAAAAAATACCTTTACTTTTATGTTCTAAATGTAAAAATCTGCTTGTCAGAAACATGTGTTTTTTTAGTATATGTATATGATTTTACTCTTGATATCACTACTAAATCAAATGTCATGTTTTACAGACTTGTCAAAGTAAGAGACAGTGGCTTCCACCTCTTTATGAACCACCTTTAAAGAATAATATATATATATTTTTTTTTTAAAAAAAACGTCAAATTAAAGGAGTTACATGAGCAGGCTTTTGTTAAATAATGTTAACTTTATTTATTTATAAAAAAAAAAAAGGTCTTGTTATAAATAATATATTTACAGAATGATATCCTGCGTTAAGCTGGTGCATGATTCTGTACAAATCATCAGTGGCCACATGATGGTGCTCTTCCAACATCTTTTCACAGAAACAGTACTGACCAGTTTCCTCAGGAAATACAATCCAAAGACGGACTCCATGATCATCTATTCTAAGCGGGATCACAAGAAAATACACTTCATCTATAAGTGCAGTAATGACAGAAGTTGGCATGAAGAAAGTCTATGTGCAAAAAGCCATTGGAGATGGATGTGATTGCTCTATATGAAGTCACATTTCGGCAATATTCTTCAATAACAGCGCAGAGACAGAGAGAGAAAGAGAGGGAGAGAGAGAGAGAGAGAGAGAGAGAGAGAGAGAGAGAGAGAGAGAGAGAGAGAGTGTGTGTGTGTGTGAGGGAGAGAGAGAGTGAGGAGTGCAGTCGTGACAAGATTTATTTGAAAACAACAAAGTAAAATCATACAATGAAAATAAAATAATAATAATAAAAATTAAAAAGCAATCACATAAATCAAAACGCTTCGATTGCTCTGGTCCAACCACTGCCTGCCAACAGTGTGTGTTTTAAACAAATTGTCTGAGTGCCGAATATCTGCTCAAGGTCCATCTGCTGCCAACTCACAAACTCAGAAAGCCCACCTGATCCCAGAACCGAGATCAGGTTGGAGATGTTTGCGCTGTCCAGCTGCTCCGAGTCCGATTGTAAATCATCCTCCTCCTCCTCATCCTCACTCCTCATCCTCTTACACGGCACGGGCACAAAGTCCGGCAAATAAAACTCCGGGTCAACAATGTAATAACTTGTGTCCATCTTTCGCTTTCTGGTGTAGCACTGCGCGCCCGCCTGCGGCTGTTTTGGCTGCGCGCAACAGTCTGAGTGGAAGTATCCGTTCGTCACAGTTGTCACCACATGCGTGTCCAAGTCCAGGACGGTCTTTTGGTTGGCTTGTGCGTTCAGGATGGGTAACTCCCAGGAAGATTTGTCCGCGCAGCTCCAGCAGGCTTCTGAAACCATGAGCTCAGAGTCACTTGGAGAAGCCATTGCGCACGCAGAAGCGTCTTGGTGCGCCAGCTCCGAGGGCTGTGCGCTGGACTGGTGCGCTCCGCAGTGCCAAGTATCCGACTCCACGCCTGTAAAGTTGCAGTAGAAGTCATCAGCCAACTCCGTGAAGCTGCCGGTCAGCTCGATGTACTCTTGCCTCCTGTGGACCGCCGCCGCATCCTCGTACGGAGGTGTCCTCTGCGTCTGCAGTGAGTTTTTGCTCATGTAAAACTGCCTAGCGTTTCTGAGGACGTACGTTACCAGCAAGTTCTTGTGGAGCTTGATGCCGCCTCTCTGCGTCCTGGAGCTTTGGATTTTCCTTAAAGAAATGGAGATCAGGTTCTGTGCGTCAAATGCACACTCCATCCTCAACTGGGCGACCCTTTGTTTTGTTTTTTTTTTTTGTTTGTTTTTTTCCCCTGTTCCTCTCAGTGTCTCAAAACGCTCGTTCTCTAACAGGAGAAATATTTATCTCGTTGGTTGAGATACCTACTAGGCTCGCGTAGACTGTGTCCATAGCGCTCCATGTCTTCCCAGTAAGGGCATGGATTTTCAACTCTCATCTTTCCTTTGCCACGCCCTCACGTACACATTGTCCAATGGGAGGGAGGCGGTGCTTCTGTTATAACCAAATATCACTACTGGCCTCATTGAAAATGCACGGAGGAGCAGGCATGCTGCATTTCACTAAATGTGCACCGATCTCTGTAAATATTAATACCAAAAGGGGGGGGGGGGGAAACTGACTTTTTATGAGTAGAACAAAATGGAATAGAACTCACAAGAATCTTGTAAACCAATGGAAAA